GGGTCGCAGCAGCAGGACTGCTGGCATGGGCTGCAGCAGACGGTCTTCTGGCATGGGTCGCAGCAGATGGTCTTCTGGCATGGCTGGCTGCAGCACACCGTTTTGCTCTTCACGACGGAGCAGCATCCGGTAGAGCAACATCCACTAGAGCACATGCTGTTCGTAGGGTAGTCAAAGCTTGAAGGAGCAAGGACCTGAAACACAACGTACTTTCAATACAACCCATCTTTCCAAGTATATAGATGTCATTTATTTTGACTTACAAATGCTGCTGTCTAGGCCCATGGGTGATACCCATATCACATGTTGCTTCCTATTTATTTGCCTTGAGTTGTAAAAAAAGATCCTTACAGAAATCGAGCCACCTGTCACTATCTCAGCGATATTTGTGCCTTTTTTGAACTATCCTGAGAACTAACTTTCTGTGCTCATCATGAAGATCACTCCTTGAACTTCCATCCGAAGAAGATCATTTCCCACTGTGCTCTCTCTACCAACTGTCTTTTGCAATAAGCAATAGACCAACAGGCTAGGAAAATCTGGATTTCAGAGAGAGCTGTAGATCATGGAATCATAGAGACATAGAATAGTTTGGGTTGGAAGGAACCTTTAAAGGTTTTCCAGCCCAACACCCTACAAAGATCAGATACAAAAAGACATATTTCAATTCATTACTTGACCAAAACCAAATGAGAACCATCGCTGTCAAGGCACACTGCTAATAGGTAACGCTTACCGTGTTAACTGAGTGGTGCAGTTGAGTGAGGAGCAAAGGGACGGGGACACCTTTTATTTAGCTCGAAATTGTCCTGCCGGAAATGAGGTACCCCACAGTAATTCGTGATTTACGTACTAAGCCTATACTTATTTGTTGAATGTGCCTTCATCTATTTAGTCTTTGCCTCATTGGTTTTGACCAACCCCTCAATTTTGTGTTATTATCAATTTGTTCTGTAAATTTTTTACAATTTTTTAATGTCAAGTTAATTCTTGTGTGATGCTTGTGAACTGCTAAAAGGTATGTTTCTGCTCATTTTGCATATGGTAATGCTGTTACATTGAGATGCTAGGTGGCTTGTTCAGAGCTAGCGAGTGCTTAATTAACATAAAAATCATAATTAAGACTGAGGAGCAGTGGATTCCAGAGTCATGCAAAGGCCTTCTGGACATCAGTCACTCCTCGATATGATTTTTTTAAATTAAATTCCAGCAAGTGTAATTCCATGGCCCTGTGTTTTGTTTTTGAATGCAGAAATGGTGAAGCCCAATGTCTTTCTTTGGAATTTCTGGTCATCAGAAAGGCAAATATGTAACAGAAATTTCTTGACATCTCATCCCTTGCTACCTTATCCCATCCATGCATGGGAAAATACATGCCCTTGGCCTTGCTAATATCAGAAATTTTAGGTGCAAAGGACTGTGCAAATTCACGATGGAAATTTGGAATAGAGTTTGGGTCATATTGAAGTACATATTTTTCCAATTCCTTTTTGACATTTTTAAATAAAAGCAAAATGCCAAACTTTTCTGGAAGTTTTACATCCTCTTTCTGCTTAGCATAACTTGATCTGCAAAATTCCTATTCCATTTTTTTAAGTTCTAGTATGACCTTGAGTAATGAAAGATCCACCTACGGATGTTATTTTTGGAATAACTCTATGTTCAGTTCTCAGTCACCCATTGGCAGTCATAAGTGTTGATGTTAATGATCATGTTGCAATTATTCATTAATGATGTTAATATTTATTTTGCATGAAAGCCTGAAGGCCTCACATGATGCCCTGAGCATCTTTAGGATTTCAAATTAAACTACGTCTTTTTAAAAAAATTATCTCTCCGGTCAGAGAGAATTCATGGGACCTGGGTCTATGACTGACGTGATTAAATATTTAATTTCTGAGGTCACCCAGGGGACGAGGGCTGCTCCTGCTGCTGCAGGGCTGTGCATCTCTGGGAGCAGAGCACCGATGACCCTTGACCACCCTCCCCTACAGAATAGAGCTTCACTGGAGATATCCTGATTTCTGCTGAGGTGAAGGAGAGAAGATTCAGGCTGTTTCTGTTCATACAGAAACACGGTGCGATCCAGATCACAGATGCTGAGGACAGGATAGGTCATCACGAATCTTCCTTTTGACTTCTGGTGACATAAAGTACCCATTTCCACTCAGTTTCTGTTGGGTAGCTACTGTTTTTATTTGGCTACACCCCAGCTTTTAGAAAGCTACCCAGTCTTGCTTCAAATAATTCAAAGGACCATGAAGTCACCACTTCTCCAGGCAAACTCTTTCCAAGGTCAATGTTCCTGTCCCCTAAAACACAGGCTTCATTTCCTATTGAGTTTGGCTTCATGCTAATGACTGGGTTAGAATAGGTCACTGCCACATATTATAATCTAATTAGTGATGGAGATTTACACCAGCTCAGTACCTGTATCTCAGCTAACAATAAAGGAGGCTCATGGTAACCTGGGAGATGGCCAGGAGGGATTTCTGAGCCTGCAGGGAAATGACAGGAGACTGACATTAGAAACGTGGCAGATCCTGAGCAGTGAGGTAAAGTAAGAGATGTTGGCCAAAATGAGGCAGTTTTCTGCGTGCCTTTGTATGGATCTGGTGCATTGCTCCATCCAGTGTCCCTCCGAGTCAAAAACCCACTGCTGCTGTTAGAGCTGGATGTGAACATCAGAGGTGTCTGAAGCCATGTGAGACAGATCCATAGGCAGCTGGAAACCCCTAATCGATTTTACAAGAGGAGTTTTACAAAAGAAAAGATTCAAATTAGATCCAAAAAAAAGATCCCAATTAAATTTTGCATTGAGTGAATTAACTTTGCAGGCTCTGTAAGATGCCCAGAGGAACACCACTCTGTTTGTTTGGATTTGAGAATTACGGATGCAGTGAAGCAATCCTTGCTGGGAAATGGCTAAGGCAAATTCCTCCTCATTAATCCTTAGGGGTTTGCTCACTGTTTATCCTGGTTGTTGAAATCTGCTGTTATGTTATTTAACACATACTCAGCAGAGCAGAAATGTTCCTGTAAGCTATACAGACTGTTAGGTATAGAGGACTTCTCTTGCCAAATGTCTACGGTCTCTGATTAAAAAAAAAAAAAAAAAAAAATTCTAATGAGATAAAGCGTTCATAAAAGCTTTGGTCCTTGATGTTCCAGGTATCAAACCTCTCCAGGGCTGACAAAAGCATGGAATGGAATGGAATGGAATGGAATGGAATAGAATAGAATAGAATAGAACAGAACAGAATCGAATCGAATCGAATCGAATCAAATCGAATCAAATCAAATCAAATCAAATCAAATCAAATCGATTGAATCAAATTGAATCGAGCTTTGTTCTTGTTTCCCCATTATTCCTGCCATTTCTCATCCTCAAGTTAATTGGAACTTCAAGCTTGAGCACAGCAGAAAGCATAACCAGGCTTTGTGCATTTTGTGGGACTTGGAAAAGGCAGAGGAAATAAAACGTGCTGTGATTAGTCACAGAATAGAAAGTTGGAGGCCTGGGGCAGCAAGGGAAAGTGAACATACATACTTGAAGACAAAACCAGTCCTATGGACAGGAAGGAGTGCATACTGACTCAATACCCAACTGCAGAGAGGTGAAGAACCAATAAGAAAAAGAGTTTTTAATGTAGCTGTCAAGGGTCGTGTGAAAATGAGCCATCTCTTAGCAATGGCAACAACCTGGATATAGGTGAGTAATTAATTGCCCTCTGCATCCCATTTGCAACTTTTCCTTTTAGCAGACTGTTCCTCTATAATGACAATTTTCTCCGTAACCCATAAATAACTAATTCCAATTACTTATATACCGACTAGTCATTTACTAGGTACTTGCAGTGCCCAGCTCATGCAGCCTGTTTCCCATCCCTGCCCTGGGATGGATGAATCACGCTGGGGAAACCTTCTCTAATTTTACACTGTAGAAATTGTTTAATTGAGGGTGTTCCAAGGTAGGTTCCAAACCCAGCAGGATTTGCTTTGTTTTGTTTCCAAATATAGCAGCAGCTTTTAAAGATTGCGTGTGGAGTAAAAGCATGAACGTGCAGGCCAGGCCCCCGGCTGTAACTTTGAAACCCCCATTGCATCTGCTGAGCTCAGTGCAAATATTTGGTTTCACCAGGAATTAACCCGATGTGTTTCTCCTACCCCTCTGCGTGCGGTGCAGCGCTCCTGGCATGGCTGGTGGATGCCGTGGGCATTTTCTTTGACTTTCATGTTTCTTTGGCGTTCCTCCTACTTTAGCTATTTTCACCATGACTCTAAAACCACGAGAAAAAACAGATGCTGCCAGACAAGCAGATATGATGGACCGATGACTAAAAACATCCAGAACTGTTAGGTAGGCTTAAAATATAATCTTTATTGTCTTGCTGGAGAATGAAGCAGTAAAGCAAGAAAGAAACTATTCCCAGCCGACAGTGTGCTTTGCATTGGCAGAGAGAAGATAAACAGCTCGAAGCTCATTAAATGGAGAGACTTCATCCTAATACCACGTTACGCTCCGACCTTTTTAAAAGCATTTGCTTGTAGAGAAGCGGCATGGCTGGCGAGCGATGAGCAAGGAGATGAGCTCGAGGCTTTGGGTGAGGAGCGAGCCGGTGGGTCCTGGTGCCGAGGTCAGATCCTGCTGCTAGTACTTGGGGCACGTTGGTGGCAGCTTGCAGATGTTCTTGGTGTACTGGGGGCAGCAGGGCGGCACAGGGGGGCAATAACGCTGCACAGGGGGGCAATAGCGCTGCACAGGGGGGCAATAAGGCTGCACGGGGGGGCAGCAGGGAGTCCCGTAGGTGTACT